CCCCAAAACCCCAAAACCCCAAAACCCCAAAACCCCAAAACCCCGTTAGTATTAATTTGTGTCGGAATTTAAATTTGGGAATTATGGTATTTTTAGATTAATTTTTTGCAATAAATTATATTAAGAGTTATAAAAAGGTTGCTCAATATTTAAAGCTAAAATGGATGATAATATCAAGATTCCATTAGAAGTATCGCAGGACCCAAGACCTTGTGAGTTCATTTCTGAATTAATAGAAGAAGATCTTGACTGCGATATAGATGAGAATATCAATAAATACAGTGCCATGCAAGATTAAAAAGTTAAGAAGAATCCACTTTTAAAATCTAAAGGGAGTCACGTGGATGAGTATAATTTAGAAAGACTTCTATCATTTAGTGAACCTTAATCATTCTTCTCATTCAAAGTGCAAAATAAATAACTTTATCAGACAATTAACTACAAATAAAATCTTTTAGCTGACCATAGCACCTTTTTGAGCCTTCTAAATTAATAAAAACTTAATGCAAGTTAAAAATTCTCTTTAACCCTCGTGGATGAAAGTAAAAACAGCACACCCAAGGAGGAGGATGATGGTAGAAGTAGCTTTTTAGTTCCTGAATAAAGGGATATTGAAGTTAAAAGCAATTAAGGATCGAGAGACTAAAGTTCTTACAATTCTAGTCGGAAGAGGGATAGAAACAGCAACAAAGATTCGTTTAATAATACAGGGAAATCAATTGCAATCGAAGAAGTTGATGAGGAAGAGGATAAAAATGATAATTATGATCCTCATTTATTGGTGCTTCCACCTGACAATATCATAATTTAAAATGATGGGGACTCTGATGATATCAGTCCACTTAGTAAAATTCCAGAAAGTTGTCGACAGCTAGAACCTGAAGATTAATTTCTTAATCCATTTCAGAAAAATATTTCAGGATTAGAGAGATAGACTTCATCTATAAAATTATATTTAAGACAAGATACACCAGGCTTTCTTCACAGTAAAAATGGAGGATTTATGTCTAAGAAATATACCCTTGGAATAGACTTTGCTAGCGTTTAAGAATCTCATTCCGGTTTGAGGAATCGGGGAAGCAGTTTTAATATTCAGGGATAGGAAAAAACAAGTATCGCAGAGCAGAAGGGTCAGTAGGAAACTCTAAAAGTTTTCCTCAAGAAAGAAGATTTTTTCGCTCAGAAGTAGCTACTTTATACAATTCTTCCTGAAAATGATAGATAAGATGAAAATGAGGCAACCTATCCAAAAACATCATAAAGTAAGTCAAAACTTAAATTTATCATTTAATAGAGAAATTTACTCTGATAATGGACATGGTAGATATACTAATAAAAATAATTGATACTGAATCTGAAAATTTTTACCTTTAAGATGTTGCAATTTAGGAGCTTTCTTCCTCAAACAACTATAATACTCATGAAATCGTAAATTTTGAAATTTAATAATGTTCTAGATTCTGGTGAAATACATGCAGCACCCTATGGTAAAAGCATTGAAGGATTTATAGGTATATTGTGAGTTAATCCTTTATACGTTCCTTCCTCGAGAGTACTGTTAGTAAATTGTCTCGAAAATACCAGATCTTCAAAGCGTATTTAGCTATATATTCTGTGCAGAGGATATGTTTGTTACTGATGACTATATAATTAAGGACATTAGTAAAATTATGTAAAGCAGATCGTAAGAAGAAGTTATCGTAATAGAGACCGATTCATTAAGGGTCGACGATGCCTTTCTGTCTAGCATTATAATTTAGCAGTATGATGGATCTCTTAATTACAGTTAGTTAGCAATGCTGAGATCTACTATTAAGTCCATCACGGAGTAACCGGATATTTAATGACACTATAAACTAATGGTATTAAAAGCCAAACTATTGATCATTTAATTATCATTCTATATTATATAAATAATACCAATAATTATTTAATACATTAACTAGTTACTATATCACATATAAAAATCGTGATTAGCTCTTATGGGGTTTTGGGGTTTTGGGG